TACTGGATGGTTAAGACCAAGGTAAAGCAGGACCTGTGCAACAAGAGTTGTAGCTTTTGGGTCTGAGAAGGTCAGTAAAATCCCCTCAGGATTTATCCTGAGATCCTGTACCTCAGATTGTAGAACCTTTGTCAGTACAGCCATGTGGATGAGTCATGGCCATTGCTTGGCCAATGTGTAGAGCCCAGTCTGGACAGGTTAGCAAGACTGTCTCCCGAGGGGGCAGAGGGAGCACTGGGTCTGTAATACTGTGCAGTGTCTGGGTTTGAACCCCAGCATGGCACTACCTCAGTTCACAAAAGCTTCTGTTTGTAAACTGTGGTTCATAAACAAAAAGAACTCAGCAAAAGTTTACTTCTGTTCCCAATCTCCACCTTGGGTGACAAAGATGACCACGGCCATCTTGCCCACACAAACTTGCCCATAAACTGAGATACCGCTGTACTGGAACATAAAATAAGGGCCGTGTTTAGCAGTGTTGGTCGGCTGAGGCCCTTTAACTCTCCAGGCTTCTCGCCTCCCCAAGCCTCTTGCATTGAGCCCAGCAGTGAGTAGGCTGCACTGGAGAAAAGAAAGAGAGTGGACCACTTTGTTTTTGGTTTTTCTTTTCTTTTTTTTTCCCCCTGTATTTTAGGGAAGGAACTACTGGATGTTCAGGGTCTCACTACTAGATCAGACTCACAGTGATCCACCTGTTTTTAGCCTCCCAAGAGCTGGGATTACAGGCATGCGCCATCATGCCCCGTCTCAATGTCTCAGCATGCGCTGGGCGCGGGGCCAGCACGGCAAGCCCCGGGATCGAACCCTCATGGCCCCTGCACCTGCTTGCGGGCACTTTAATCCGCTGAGCTATTTGGCCTGTACCTGTTTTTTCTTTTGTTGTCAAGAGACAGTAATGATCTCCAGCATCTACCTAAATGGCTTTAACAACAGCTGGTATTTGAAAGTGCTTTCAGTGCTGTCCACTGAGAAGATTCCTGCACACACTAAACAAAGCTTTCAGTGAGAAGATGAGGTGTAGAGAGGGGAGGCGATCTGCTGAGGCTCCTGGAGGCTTTCTGGAGGCCAGAAGGGCGTGAACCAGCAGTCTGAGAGGGGCTGGTGCCAAGCCGGAAGCTGCGCCCGCGCCCTTCCGGGTGCCTGAGTGGCTGTGCCTTGCCGGTGAGGCCGAGGCTCTCCTGGAATGCCTGAGGCCGCGCTGCTGCTCCCTGTCCTGTGCAGGGACTGAGTAACCCAGCACTGCTGCGGTGCAGGCACCTCCCCGGGGATCGCCAGACTGCTGCAGGCTCTTACGGGGGAGGTGCGGGACATCCAGAGGGCCCCGCAGAAGCAAGTACGGCGGAGTCCTTCCCCCAGAGAGAAGGTGCCATCGCGGCAGGGAGCACCTGCCGCCCTGCCCTCCAGCTGTGGAGCAGGGCCTGGTGTGCTGTTCCCAGCACTGAGGGCAGGTGCCCTTCAGAACTTCCCAGCGTCCTCTGCGCTGCCTTGTTGTTGGCGATGGAGCTGCTGGGGTACTGGGTTGCTCTGGGGAGCAGGCCGTGCCAAAGGTCTGTAAGGGAAGAAAAGGCCCCGGAGGAAGCGTCACCGTCGCTTTTCTCCAGCTTTCTGTGAAGTCCACACTGGAGCAGTGGCAGCCCTTGTGCACAGGACCTCACCAAGCTGCATGTCAGGATGGCTCTGGGGTGGCCCAAGAGAGCTCCCCAGGCTGATAAGCATGTGTTGCTGGCTGTCCTGTCACAGCCTCCGGCACCTCATGCAGCCATTTCAGTGCTGTGTCCGGATAAGGATCTCTGAGGAGGCTACGTTTTTAGTTCCCTGAACGCGCAGGCTGCCCACAGATCACAAGTTGCTCCACGATAGCGCTGAGCCGAGATAACGTTTACAGCAAAGCTGGTCTGATGCAGCGTCCGTGACTGACAGCAGCTCCACCATTGGTGGAGTGGGGTGAGCACCCAGGACAGGCTGTTCTCAGAATGGAGGACTTGGGTGTGCTTCCCACACCTCTCCACCTAGAACTCTTGAAATCAGACCAATTAAAAGCTCTCTTGTGGGCAGGGGACATGATCGATGGATGGGGGCCTGGGAGCCACCAGACCCACATGTCAGCCATGCCTGGCTGCTTGTGCAGATGTCTTCTGAGACACGGGGCTATTGGGATCAGTCTTAGGGATGTGACCCGGGGGCTGGCGCAGAATCGTGGTTCAGCGATCCTTTCTGTTCTCGTAGCACGTGTGTGCAGTGCATGCGTCTTGCGGTCCTCTTGTCCCTTTCTCATAGCTTTCCTTTGGTTCCAATGCAGTCTTGTTTTTTACTTGAATGAAATAGCTCACTGCCAAATCCATTCAAGGTAAGCACTGTCACTTACAGCCCTTTTGTCTTTTGCTTGTTTCTAGAATCCTGTCACACCTGGGATTGAGGTGCTTGTAACCTGAAGATGCAGCATATCCACTCAGCCCTGCAGAGGAACTCCACGGCTTTTTTCCTTGAGCTTGGGAATACGTGGGCATTTGGAGAATCGAGGTAAGGAACATTCTCCTCCTGAGCCTGTGGCCCCCAAAAGAGCTTTTAGAATTGATGCTCTCCGCAGGGTAGCCTGCAGGACAGGCCCCGAGCTCCTGGCACATCTTCTGGTGCTCCCAGGTGCCGGGGAAGCTGGTTTCTCATAATTCACCCTGGCATCCTTTTCAGCGTTTGGTCCCCCTGAGCGTGGTGCCCACCACTCTGCCTGTTCCTAGCTAAGGGAGGAGCCGGCTAGTTCTTAGGGGCATTTGCTACCCTCTGCAGCTGTCCCGTGCTGATCTGTGTGCGCTACCTTGGGAAGAAGGGAGGAAGGCAGCTGGGGATTACACGGTCGGGTTGGCGCATCTGGAGTGTGAGCTTCCCCCTCCCCCCTCAAGCCCCTCCCCATCTGGGCCAGGCTGAGCCTCCTCCCTCCACCTCCATCGCGTGCTCCAGCTGTGCAGCCTCTGCAGCTGCCTGGGGTAGCGGAAAGCGCTGCAGCCCGAGGTCTTCCAGGGGACCAAGGCTCTCCTGTTCTTCTGCTTGTTTCGCCTTGGCCAGATGGCTCAACCTCAGGAAGCCTTGCTCTGTATGTCTGTACTAGGACGGACCAGTGCTTGTCTCATGAGGGAACAGTGGGTACTGATCGACAGCCTACACACCAAGCTTAGCTGGCTGCCTGGCACGAGCAGGAGACGCTCCAAAACAGGAAGGGCTATTTTTGCTTATTAATTTTCAATGGATTGATTTTGCTATTTGGAGTTCCATTTATGTGCCAGGCCACTTCTAAGTCCTTGGTCTGCTCTTCTGTCTGCTGAGAACCATCATGTCAGCCTGGGCAGTAGCTTGGGAATTGCCTGTCTGCCCACTCCTGCTCCCTGTCCCATGTAGAGCTGATTATTCCCGTAGTAGTCCCCATGCAGAAGGCAACGGAAGACCTGGCTACTGCACCCAGTTGAATTTCTTCTACTTTATCCCCTTCCTGTCATCATGACTAGAGAACCTGCGTAGAGAGGAGGTAATCTTATATGTCCTAGTACCACCGCCTCCCTCCTCTCACACGTTGGCACTGCTGACCTGCCCTGGTGTGCTGTGCTCCCAGGATGCAGGGAAACGGTGTGGAAAGGCCTTGTCCTGTGCCAAGGGGCAGAGCCAGGCCTCACACGGGGTGCTGTACATGTGCCAGCTACAGCCATCCCTCTGTGCCTTTGGGGACCCCAGGGTGACTCAAGTCTGGGGGACAAGTTCTTCCCATGAAGTGGCCTACTGTTTGGGCATCATCCGTGCCCATCCTCCTGTATGCTCTACCTCTAGCCCACTCGTGGTGCACATGGCCACCGGAAATCGGTGTAAGTCACTGTTACTGTGTATTAAGTAGGAAATAATGAAAGAAAAAGGCTCCACAGTCTTTGCCATGGGTGCCCTTTTTCGTGCACATTTTCCCATTGCAGTTGGCTGAATCTACGAATACGGAGCCCATGGATGCAGAGTGCAGACCATCCCTAGGAAGGTGAGGAGAGGCCAGGGAGCTTCTCCGGCTCCTGAGAGATGCCTGGGAGTAAGTCCTCCTCAGCGCTGAGCCACTGCTTAGCAGCAAGCCTTTCTGTCCCCTGGAGCACAGTCCCCAGCTACACTCACAGTTTCCTGTCCTTCCCATTTTGTGACCCAGTTTTCCACCTGGGGAAGGGGTCAGACTTCCTCTCACTGTGAAGCCAGCAGCTCCCCTGCGGGAGTGCGCATGACTGCCTTGCAGTGGCTGTCCGGGACTTAGCTGGCCTTGAGCTCTGTTTGGGGGCTGTGCTCCTGCCCTGGGCGTCCAGCTGACAGGCAGCAGGGCTGTAACTGTGCTGCAGCCTTTCCTGCCGTCACTCGCTGTTCCTTGCCATGGCCAGGGCTGGAGCAAGCAGTTCAGGATGGAAGAAAGGGCAGAGGGGAGCCAGTCATGGGCAGTGAGCCTGTCCTTGGTGCGGTGCCGTGGCTGTGGCAGAGAGCAGCGTGCTGCTGCCTGTGAGTGGTAGAGAGGCTTCGGGAGTCGGATGGGGTGTAAGAAGAGGGATTCCTTTAGGATTCAGCTACTGAGAGCAAGGAGATAGGGTGGAGGTAGCCCACTGTGCGGAGCGTGTACTGCGGTGGAGCTGGTCTGTCAGGCCCCGAAAAGGGCTGGCATTAGCACTCTTGTCCACAGTGTGATTTGTGTTCGAGGCCCTTTTGTCACATGGAAGTCGTCGCCTTTACCCTGCTGCCTGGGTAGCAGTGCAGCACACCTTTCTATCTGCGCTTGTGGACCCCGTGCGTGGACAGAGACAGCAGGAGTACAGACCTGGGCACCGGAGAGCCACCCCACTTCACCTCCTGCTCCCCTGTGACCCTGGCAAGCATAGCTCTCGAAACTGTGCTTTTCCAGCTGCAAATGCCCCAGGCCTGTGTGGGGTGGCTGTGGAGACTGCAGACATGGTTGAGGCGTGGGCACCCTCATAGTCAGTGTTCTCTTGCAGGCCCTGACCTGTCTAGCACATCGCCATCTAGGTACTGGCCTCTCACCCGCCCCTCCCTGATGAAGGGTTTCTTCCTCTTGGCTGTACTGGCTGTGTTCCCCAAGAGTTCATGTGCTAAAGCTTAGTCTCAGATATTTCTGCTGTGCAACAGAAAACAGATGAAGATAGTAGGGTTTTATTGTGTTTTGGAGACAGGGTGTCACTGTGTTATCTAGGCTGGCCTCTGACTCTTAGTGATCTTCCTGCCTCAGCCTCCTGTATCCTGGGACCGCAAGCACATCCCACACCTGGCATCTTCATCTTTGCCCCTCCTCTTGTTGTCTTGTCCTCTGCTGCCTGGATTGCTTTCCTTGGCTCCCTGTCCACTGGTCCCATGCTGGTGGTCGCTGGCCATGTGCAGGGCATTAGCAGGCCCCTGCCTGCCTGGGTGTGCAGTGAAACAGCACTGGTCACAAGCTGCAGAGCACGCAGGTCAAGGTGGCTCCCGTAGTCAGCATTTGTGGCAGTAGAAAGGGTCCTGGCCCACTTGGAGCTCTATGAACCTTAACCCTTGAAAGAGAGACATCTTCCGATACTACCTCTGGTATTGGCCAATTTTTCTATTACTGTTTTTGTGGTTTCATGCTGAGGTTTTGGGCACATTGCATTTGATCTGCAGTTTATTTTTAGCAGTAAAAACAGAGTTCGGTTAATGTCAGGGCAAATGCAGAGGAGGGATTCGTAAGTCTTGGGGAAAATGTGCCTAATTTTATCTCTGCTGATAACATCTGTCCCCAAGCCTGCACAGTCATACTGCAGTCATAGCTGCCTGGCAAGGCTCTGTGGAGGCAAGAGCAGTGGCCGGGTCCGGCCCCAAGGACAGGTGGGTTTCTAGGTCTCGGTCCAGCGTGTCCAGCTGCTGGGTGCACGGTGATCACCCCTGCAGCATGCTGTCTGGCTGCGGTCAGCATCTTCAGCACCGAGTGGGGCTGCAGGGTCCTCAGGAGCAGTGAGCACTGGCTCTGCTGCAGCTCTTCTCCCTGTGCGGCCCGCTGTGGAATGACCGCCTTCGGTCTTCTCCCTCTGTAGCCCCGGTCTCGGTTCTGAGGACAGGTGCAGAGGCCGGGCCTGGGAACCATCATCTTGGGTTGCGGGGATGTGAGGACGCTGGCTCTGGCCTTGATGGTGCAGGCATCCCCCTCCATCAAAGGCTGCCCATTCTGCCTCGAGAGGCGAGGTGAGCCCCGCCATGTGCCCAGCTCTTTACAGTGTATAAAGTGTTTTCTCCTGTCTCTTCCTTTGTTTCATTGCTGGAATTTCTAGCAATGCATGGGAGGAGGAAGATCCTCAATCTCGCTGATGAAGGAGCTGGAGACCTGGAGAGGCCTGGGGGCCCTGGACCCCCTCGCTCCCTGGTGGTGGCTGTCCCATGAGCGTGTGGGTCTTTGCCGTGTGGCCCTTGCACCGTCAGTGTGGTCTGACCTCCAGCTTGCCTCCTGCTCACTGCTCCGGCGGTGCTGCCCACCTTTCCCTGCTTCTCCCCTTCTGCCTCTCTCAGCTTCTCTATTTTTCACCTTCTCCAGCTCTGTCATCTCAGGATGAGGATGATTCTTTCTGTGCCTCTCTTGTGTGAAGGAGTCTGGTCTCCTGGGGCTGTGCTCAAGGTCCTGTCTAAGTTGGGGGTCCTGGGGTCCCCATGTCCACTTCCCCAGCACCTTGCATGGTGACTGGGTTGGCAGGACACCCCAGTTCCTTCCCTGCCCTCACCTTTCTCCTGCTATGAGCCAGGGGCTGCAATGGACAGAAGCCAACAGAATGAATAAACAAACCATCTCTGTCTTTCAAGGCTTAAATGTACCTGGTCATGCTAATCATTAGAGAAGCAGAGGCAGAGCCCGCTAAGATGAAGACAGAAGCGCACTTCGTCCATAGCCATTTCTGTGTCTTTGTACCCGTGTCTGTAGCTCTGTGTCTGTGAGGAGAGAGGTTTGTTGTAAGCACTGGCCCGCAGCTGTGGAGGAGCCTGTAACGCCCAGTACACTTCCTTGCTCTGGAGTTCTGCTCTGCTGCTATGTGATGCTCGGCGCTCATCCTTTCCATTTTGTAGGAATCAGCCACTTCTCCCCAAGCCCGGCTTTCCATTGGAGAATGGTGTTAGCTTGCTGCTGCCAGGCTGGGCGGGATCTCACAGAGAACGCCTCTGCTGACAGAGCTATGATGTGTGTGTGTGTGTGTGTGTGTGTGTGTGTGCGCGCGCGCGCGCGCCAGCACACACCTTTGCAGGTTTCCCTCTGTGTGCGAAGCGAACTGTAGTGCATTCCAGGCCTGACGTCTCACCACGTCCTGCACACCTTTTAAATGATTCCTCTTGTTCGCCCCACTGTAAGGGAAGGGACTGAACGGAGAGGTCACCGAGTCCACATGGGCAGGGAAGCGTGCTGGGGACATAAGGCTTTTCTCCTTGAGGAGTTGGCCCAGGCTGTCTGCAAGCCAGAGCTCGTGTTACCCTTACAGGCCTTTGCGCGTGTGAGTCCCAGTGCCCTGCCC